TCGTTATGCATGCTGTCTGTTTGTCAGGGGTGACCATACACCATACTAGAGGCAACACACACTGTACAAGCCTCACTTTTATCCTTAAGTTCAGACTACATTTGGATTTATTCGCAATAGGTCTTGCCAGTGAATGGCACTTTCATTTTTGTTTTGCATACTTTATTATCACGGAATAAGCTATATCCAGACCAAATTTCATTTATTTCTATTCAGTATTTTTTGATTTGGGAAAATGTCTTCCATCTCTTAATTTTGTCGACCAGTGTATTTAAAATCAGTAGATTAAATGTTTTTATATTTTTTCATCTTTTTAACTAAAATAAATACGCATCTTATCACAGTAATTGTTATGCTTACATTTATTATTAAAAAACTTAGTTAAAGGTTAAAAATGAAATTTGTAGCGTGTTTGATTTCTCAACTGCTTAGTGTGTTTATATGACATAAAGGGACAAGGTGGGTAGGGGATATGGTTTAATGTACAAAGGGGAGTTCAAAAATATTGAAACAATAGTCACTATATCCATTATCTTCAAAAAAAAGTATTTAGTAGTATCATGGGCGTCGTTGGAAAGGGGAGGTCAACCGGGTTCGAATCCCCAGTTACGGCTTGCACCGACCACAGTGCTGACGTGAAATATCCTCAGGGGTTTGAGTCCCTTTACCGTCAGGGTAATCGTGGGACGTTCTCGTTTTTTTCTTCTCCATATTACGCAAATGTGAGTTAGTTAAAGTCCTGCAGGAAGGCAAATTTCTCCAAATACTTGATGCAGTTCCTTGTCTTTGAGGAATCTCCTTGCCGCCGGAAATTCGTGTTTTTCCTCTCCATGTAACGCGAACGCGGGTTACAACCACTATCGCGGGTTACAACCACTATAAGTCCTTCACGAAAGCAAGTTTGTCCCAATGCTTGATTCAGATGTTCCCCATGTCTTCTGGGTTGGGTTCAAAATAATAAGGTTACGGGTTTGAACATAAATAGTTGTAAATTCAGAATTGGGGTAAAGCTGTTCAACGCCGGTTGTAAAATATATCTTGGGTTCATTATGGTTATTATACTGTATTATAATATTTATTGACAAGTGGTAAAAAAAGAAGCAGAGACAGGGTTTAATTAATAATTTATAATTTTATTCACAATAAAATGCCCTCTTCACATTGTGCCAGTGTACACAACAAAGTGTACATTAATAACTTGTAATGTATAGCTAAGGGGGCAGGTAAAACATGTAAGTTACACTCAGCAAATACAGGAATGTTACATTCATTTTTTTTTTGTTTTGTTTATTTTTAAAAAAATGCTATGCCATATAACAACAGGAACATGGACATAATTTGGTCCCTCATAATTTCAAAGGCACTTTTATCTCTTTGCACAATTTATTAAGGCATTTGTTCAGTAACATTTTAAAAAAAAAAGTATCACACAAGCACACGTGTATTTATTTATTACTATAAAAATATGAATATTCTTAACACCAATATTCTTAAATTAAAATCAACTAAGCACTGCTAGTTGTTAAAAAAATAAATAACAAAAGCTCTATTAATTTAATAGCACGAAATTACTATCTTCTAATTAAATGTTCTCTAACACGGAGCATAACATTAAGACTAATTTTATATTCGCTAGTTATGAATATAGATTTAAGTTGATTTCATGTTAATTAACATAATACTAAATTGCAATTGTTATTGACTGCAACGATTGGCGCACTATCACCCATTTTGGCTCTGATTTGCCTCTTCGTAATAAAGAGCAAATCGTTTCGAAAAACTAATTTTGATCTATTAGGGTGGCAATATTTGGCGCATTTCCACACATTTTGGCTGTTGCACGGTTTGCAGAATAATACCTACATTAAAATTTTAAGGCAAATATAATGTACATGCATATGTCGTAAGCTAATTAATAAAATCATTCTTTTTAGGCACCGGTATTTAACAATGCGCTAGGCTATTTGGTTAAGTCTTTAGTAATTTTAAAATCTCCCTGATATTTTATAGGCTTATTAAAATATTATTTCTTCTAAGGCTATTATTTTAGATGAAAGATAAGCAAAGAATTATTCAGATGAAATTTGCTTTGGCTTATTGGAATAATGTTAAGGGAAATACTATTTAGGTTATTTACATTATGCCTTTACTACTCTAGGCTTATTTTAAACTGCCTGCAATAAATTAGGCTTATTGAACAGTAAATGATATATTTTCCAATTAGCATTAAGGTATATGTTATCACTACAGTAGGCCTAAAAAGTCGTTAGCTGATCATTTATTTGTTTAATTACTTTTAATAATTACTACTTATAATAATTACTTTACTTTTACTTATTACTTTTAATGAGTTTCAATTACTTTCAATACTCTTTTAATACTGGAGTTAGCAGCGTGTTCCAAAATTACAGTGATTATTTGCAAAAAGTCAGATTGTTCAATTAGCTAACAACATGCATAAAGATTGAGTGGGCTTCTAAAAAAAATTATCGATGCTGAATTAATTATAGAAAATTATGATAAATATTGATGAGCGATAAGTTCAAAGACTTATAAACGATAAAGATAATAAGCAAACATAAATTGTTTCTGCTAAATAACTAAAAAGTGCTTAAAACATAAGAAACAGATTAAAAATTAACCGATTTGATTTGATTAAGAACAAAAAAAAACTTTTTCCATAGGAAAAACATAGAAAATAATTTCATTCACCAAACAATACCGCTTACCCATATTCACAAAAATTTAAAGCGATAAATAATCTAATTAGAAACAAAAAAAAAAAATTTAATAAACCCAGGGGTAACAGAAATTCAACATATTGCGAAGAAAACTAGTGCCTTATTTTTTTTTTTTTTTTGTAACATTTTGCAGTACTGTTTTATTATTATTGGTTTCACAAACTACAAACACAAGAAGGGAAGAGAAAAAAATTAAATAACATAAATTATCACTGGTAGCAAATTCCCTTTTTTAAAGGATTGTGCACTCACGATTTTCAACATCATTCGTAGAGGAAAAAAAAATAATTATATAAATGCAGATAACATTGAATTATCCAAAACGAAACAGTTATCATCACAAATAAAGAAACATTCAGAGTTTTTTTTTTTTTAATATAAGCGCTAAAATCTTATTTTCAAATAATAGATACCTAAAGTATAGTTAAAAATAAATAAATATTTAAATACATGATAACATGAAAGCGTACTTAGCTGAAACTAATGCCCAAGTCCGAGAGAAATTAATTACTTAAGGAATATTAATTAATTAATTACAAGGACATGATCATTACTCAGGAATTTGACTACACAAATAAAAATGATTTCTTCAATAATATATGCAGATGATTATATCGACGTTACAGTCAATAAAAATTTTCATGCATTCTTTTGCCTTCTCATAACACGAAAAAAAAAAAAACACTTTTTCACGATAATAAAAAGATTTAATATAATGATCTACTATACAATGCAAATCAATAAATATATTTATATATATATATAAAGTGACTACCACAAATTTGCCCAGATAACACTGCAACAAAGAGGTAAGCTTGATTTATTTATAATACAAAATAGGCTAAATAGATATTTATTATATCATAGAAAATTATTGTACCTTGTATAGAGAAAAAAAACTAGTTTTCACCATTATCCAAATTGAAATTTGAATTAAACACCAAAAATAATTCGAAAAAGAATTGCCTTAAAGAAGAGTTACAGAAGAATAGCTTAAATAAGAATTAAAATAAAGTGACCAAAGAATATCAATAAAATAGTTTCATAATAAAAGCCAAAAATTAAGAGATCTTATAATTAGGCCGAAATTGTTATATGTTTAATAATATTAAGTTAAATTCGCAGCCTTAATTATTATAAAATCATAGATTTTTTTATAATATTAGTTCTTACTTGGAAAAAGTTGAGGCTCAAATGTATATTTTTATAACTTTTTCACCCGAAGAAGTTTCTCAAAAAAAAATTGGTAATAACCTAGAAAAGACTTAAAACGACTTTTAGATTTCGTTAAATTTGTAATAAGTTAGCTTTCTAACAGAACAGCATTAAACATAACATATTCAGCTGAATTAAAACAACTCAACTCATTTATTGACAATGCGAAGTCATTAAGTTGGATTTTCAATTTCGATAACATAGTTTTAATTCAAAAATGAAGTTAAAAATTCAAAGTTGTATTTCATTTACATTAATTTAAAAAAATAAATAATTTTACATAAAAATAATAAATTATGAAATAAAAGTGCAATATATTAGAAATTTCAGATATAAAAAAATATCCAGATTCTAAATACACATTAAATTAAAAGAACGAATTAGAATACAACTTTGAAATAATGTAATTCGATATTAAATAACCTGTGAATCCGCATGTGAAACAAAAATAATGACAAGAATTTAAATGAGATCACTGATTCACTGCAAGATTCAATTACTAGATTTTAAAAAAAATTGTAAGGCACAGGAAGAATATAACATGTTATTCTCTTGTAAACATTTTTTTTTAAAAGTTAAACACCACCCTACAATAATGGAAAAAACACTTTCTATTTTTGATATTTTTTTTTGTTGCAATTTTTCAAGAAATACTTAAAGAACTAATTTGCAACTTTAGAATCGTTTGGTTCATGCAATTTTTCAAATTTTGCAATAAGGTTTAACGCTTTCAGAGGTATTAGACATCGACAATAATTTACAAAAGAAAACAAGTATTTTTGAACATCCTATGCCAGAAAATTATGCAATAAGCTTGTATAAGTTATTTTGGTTATTATTTGCAATAGCTGCATAAAATTTCAAGAATCTAGCTTAAATATTTATATATGAGCATTTTTATAAAAACATATTTTTGTGTCTTATGTTTCTTAATTTAAGAATATTCAGTAAAATTCAGTAAGTATTTTCGGATTATTTTAAAATTACGAATTTGCTTTAAAATTTTGAAAGCTTTAAACTTAGTTGCAAAGTATGAAAAATCAAATTAACTAAACAATTCCAAATTCACAAAATAGTACTTTAAGTATTTCTTGAGAATTTTTAAAAAAAAATATTAAAAACTGAAAATGTCTCTTCCATTACTGTAGATTAGTGTCTTTAATGACGTTATCACCAATTTCACGAAAAATTGTCTCTATATCAGTTACATACTCAACTTTAAGGCATCAATAGAGGAAATTCTTTTAGTGAATTTTCGGCTGAAAATTATTTTGCTGAAAAGTATCAAAAATAGGGAATTTAAGAAAATTGTAGTTATCTGGGGGAGAAGGGGAAGGTCCAGTTGGATACAAGTCCAAAACAGGACCGCCTTGGCATTTGTGATTATCAATGTCAAAGTCAAAAACAGAACCACCTTGGCATTTGTGATTATCAATGTCAATGTCATCTCTATAAAGGTAGCCGACGTAATCTGCAGAGCCAGGAGCAAAATTCGATTTTCCGTGATCCGACAAACGTTCCAACAAATCCTGATAAACAAATCCTGCCGGACCCATTTCAGTGAAGAATACATCGTTCATAAGAGTGGGAGACAGCGGATGAGTGGGAGATGAGTTGAAAATGTCATTGAAACACTTCAAGTCAGTTGGCGAACCTTCGTTGCTCGATGGCGGAGAAAGCTCGCCATCCGAACCCAGACTGGTGAGTGCTTTTGGCCTGATGCCGACAGGTATAATAGGTGCTGAACTGGTACTAAGGTTGGTCAGCAGATTCTTCTTGGTCTGTTCGCTGTTGTGGATGAAATGGCATCTTGGACCATACGGACAGAGGCCAGTGCTGTGAAAGGTTCGACAGAGTTCGGTTTTGTACTTGGGATGTCTCGCCATGCTTCTCAATTCTTTAATACCATGAGCGAACTGACATTTGTCGCCATACTTGCAAGTGCCGTTTTCCTCAAAAGGCCTGCAGAGCTCCGTCTTGTACCTGCTGGAGTTGGTGTTTTGAACCATTTTCCTGTCAGACCCTGGGTCGCTGCTTACGCTCCTCTCCAACTTGGAAGAGTGGATTTGTTTGCACGACGATTCAGACTGTTGTTGATGACCGAGGCTATTTGTCTTGGTAAGAGGTGGACTGCAAGAATTTCGTCTCGAGTGGTTGGCATTTTGTTGATGGCTCAACGAAGATTTCCTGCCCTGCAGGAGGTTCCCTTTGTGCGTTGGGGACTAAAAAGAAAGAATAAAAAAATTAACATAAAAGATAATAATGTATAAAATTAAAAAAATATATTATTACGAGAACATTCTATTTTAAATCTAATTATATTATTTTTTTAAAGCTATATTAATCTCACATTTCCAAAGTAATAACTAAATTTGTTTGAAATTGAAATTTAAGTGTCTTTTACAAAATCCATATTTAATTTATACTGAATGCGATTAAAATTGGATTGAAACTTTTGCTTGTGTAGAATTCCAGTCACAAGTTACTTTTCAGAAATTTTTTATTTGAACTGAAAAAGGTTTCAGAAAAAAAAAATAGATTTAACTACAAACATATTGAAGAAAACAAAGTTATAACAAAATTGATTTTTGACAATCAATATAATCATCAATATATTGAAGATCTGAGTGACATTAACTTGATTTGATACACCCGAACCACAGTAAGCTAAATTCAACTTCTTTAACAGATGCTTTGTTTTAACTGATGATTTTGCCAACCGCATTTACTAATATATTACTAAAGGTGGTAAATGTAGCTAACTCAAACGCAAATTAATATCGATTACAATAAAACAATATTTACAATAACATACTACTGACAACAATAAACTAAAACCAATACAACAAAATTTATAAAGGAAAATAACTTATAAATTAAATATAAACAAGTCATTACTGATTGAGAAATAATGATTCATTTTATTACTTTATGTTCTCTACCACATGTTCTATAGGTTACTATATGTTCTCTTTATTTCATTACTATTACGCTCTCTATCTTTAACACAACAAAATATATAAAGGAAAAAACGACAAATTAAATATAACCAAGTCATTCGTTTTATTACTTTATGTTCTCTTTATTTCATTATTTTGTGTGTTCTCTGTCATAGACGCAAGAAAAAATAAACAATTTAAATATAAGTAAGTCGTTACTGATTTAGAAATAATGATTCCTGTTATAACTATAGGTTTTCTACCATGTTCTATGCGTTCTTTTTATTTTCATTACTATATGTTCTCTATCTCTAACACAACAAAATATATAAAGGAAAAAACTAACAAATAAAATATAAACAAGTCATTACTGATTGAGAAATAATGAACTCTTAACTTTGCTCTTATCAACTTATGAGGTATATATGACTAAATCGTTCTTTGTGCTATAAAACATTCCTCATCAAATTTTCCTGGAAAAAAATATAGATGACCTTGAAGATATCTCAATCATAAATCAGTATGTTTATATTCTTGATGTTAAAGGAATGCGAATTGACGAACGACTTTTTTATCTTCTCGATTATGCAATTATGTATTTTGAAAGACATTAAAGTACTTTTTGCAAAATTATGAGTGATATCTTTGTTAGCCACCCAATTAAAATAATTTATTTCAATAAAAAAACTTTATAAACAAAATTGTTATGATTGCATGCCTAGTTATCTAACTTTTCGCCGAAAACCATAACGGTTCTATAAGAGAGCAACAACTTTGGATTTCAAATAAACTATATAATAATTTTGTGGTAGTCAAAACTGAAATTTAGTTCTAGAAATATAGCATTTTAATTTAACGTTCCAAATTATGCACTTAAATTTTAAAAAAATTAATTATCGAAAAAATAATTTTTCTGCGAAATGTTCTAACATTTACTACATGGGTAATTAATAACTCAACATTTTAATGTTTTGTTTTATAAACATTTTAAAGTTAAAAAATGGTGTAAAAAAATGGTTTAAATAACGCATTTTCAAAATTGATTTATAGTGTATAATTCAGTCTTTAGAATAAATTATGATCAAAAGTTGGATACATTTCTTTTAATTATGTAGAATTTTGCAACAAGTTAAGGATATTTTATTTAAAAAAAAAATTTTAATTTTAGTTCTCTTACACTTTTAAAACAAGATAACCACGTTAATAGCAGTAATATAAATAGCTTCGTCATATCATATAATTACGGGAAGAACAACTTAACAATAAAAATAGCGATAGATAATAGTGGTTAAAATAAAACTAGTTTCGTTGAAGCGTTAAAGACTAAAAACGCAACAGAAAAATATAACGAAGTTGATATAACTAGCTTCGTAGCAAAGTATTATTATAAATAAAGCAGTTTAATTTAACAGTAGTAATAACTCGCTCCATTGCTGCGTTTTATTATTAATAACACATATTATCTGAAAGCTCGATTTAAGCAATCGAGTTCCTCCCAGTCATGACGAAACTAAATGGTTCGTCACAAATTAAACTATCCAAAGTAAAATAAGAAGGATGATAAAATACTTGCGAAATACACAACGCATAAAATGCTGGGATTTGGAAAGGCTAGCCGATGGCGACGAGGCATTTTTTTATTATTATTATGGTAGTTTTATAATGTCTTCCTACCTTGCGCAAACATGTACAACAGGTGTTTTGGAAAAAGTCAAGGCTGTAACTGTGTTCATGAATACAAGAAGAGCCATTTTAGAATGTGTGGGGAGAGGGGGGTCCAAGTCACGCAACATTTAAATAGCATTTACAGTGACGAGGGCTAAAAAAAATCTTTCTTGCATCATGAAATATAATGTTTGATTTAGTGTTCCAAGTCAAAACGCTAAATTCCAGTTATACAATAAGTCGGTTGTCGTCTAGTAGTAGAACGTGATGTGATTATAATGAAGAAAAATAAAGTGATAAAATCATTCAATTCTATCAACATAAAAATGTTAGGTAAAAAAAAATGGAAGAAAATAAAGTGATTCTAAGATGTTTTGTACGAGTGATAAAAATCATTCCAATTCTATCAAGATAAAAATGTTAGATAACGGTGAAAAAACATTAAAAACAACAACAGAAAAAAAAAACAGCTGTAATATTGTTCTAGGAATGATATTAACCAAAATAAAATTGGTAACAAAACTAAGAACATTATGAAAAGGTTGTTTTATTCATTGGAATACCAATGTTAAAATCATTCCAAGAATGAATTCTATCAGGATAAAAATGACAACAAATAAAGTACGATTAAAGAAGGAAAAAAAAGAATAAGAAATTAATTGTTTTTATGTACATTAGAATATCAGTAGTGAAAAGTCGCTAGGAATGAATTTTGTCAGGAGAAAAGGAATTATAATAAACAAAGAAAATATGAAAATAAAAGGTTGTTTTGTATGTTAGAATAACAGTGGTAAAATCGTTTCAAGAATGAATTCCACAAAGATAAAAATACTAATTAATAAAATAAAATTTTGAAAAAAAAAAGAAGTAAAAAAGAATAAAAGGTTGTTTTATGCATAAGAGTACCAGTGGTACAATTGTTACAAATCAATGAGGATAAAAATGGCAACAAAGTAATAACCGATAAAAATAAAGTCAACGAATGTTGCTTAGCGCACCGAATTTACACAACATAAGTAAATAAAAATATATATATATATCAGTTATGTTAAGGAATAAGTGCGAAGTTTAATGACTCAAAACGAACAAAAAAAAACTTTTTAGAATGTGTGGAAAGAACGTCTAGAAACCCTTTCCGTTATAATTCCACAGGCAATTGTTCAGTTCTTTCCTGTTTGGCAACGATTAAATTAGATGTCAAGGACTTTTTATCAATTTATTCCAAAGAAATTTCGATATCTGTTTATAGAGTCAATTTACACGGTCTCTCGATTCTGACGTGTTTATTCCGTTTACAGAAAAGTCTTGAAACCTATTAGAATTTAAATCAATGAAAATATACTATATATTTATTAGTATTTATAAATATTTGACATAACCTTAGAACAAACGATAAAATGTCTGCTGTCCAATATATGTATAAAAAAAAAATTAGAATCGCTGCAAGAACTCTTAAATGAAATCTACAGGTTATTAATTCGTGTAAGTGATTTAATTATAGGAACAGTTATTTACTATACACTTTAATAACGCATTAATGAAAAGGGCAAAGCTAATTATAGTAAGCTATATTAAACGGGGGGGGGGGGGANGGGGGGGGGGGGATAACCGTTTGTACTTAGAAAATATCTATTAACTTGAAGAGCCGCAATAAAATATTTAAGACGTAAAACATTCAGATTATTCACTCATGTATATTTTCAGGAAAATCTTTTGTTCAATTACGTTAATTATCGCAATGTTTACCAGTTCTTTCAAAGATAAATTATTCAAATTAGTAATTAAGGCTAAGTTTTTAACAATTTCTGATAAATAGTTTTTCCTCAACTATCGTGGGCTTACAGGCTAAATTCCTTCACAATCATGCCTTCTTAAGTTAAAAACATTTTAATTAAACTACACGCAATACATAAATAAAAACTGTAAGATTATTTGCGAAAACATTAAGGATTCAGAAATTATCGTCATAAAATTATTCGTAACTTCAAAGCATAATATAACTTTAAAAAGATTTAAAAAAAATGTATAAGCAAATTATTCTCAATTTTTTTTAAAAATGTATTTCAAACTTATTTTTTGAATATAGAAAATTTTTGAATACTTAGAGAATAGTTTTCTTAATTTAATTAATCTAATTTCCTCAGATTTTATACAGAAAAACGTAAATGTTTTAATTTATAACATAAGAAAACGATCGCCTCAATTTAAATATGAGCTGATATTACATTGGCAACAAAAAAAATGAAGCTACGTATTCTCACGATTTCAACTAACATATCATCTTCCAAACTATCACGAATTTCTCTACAAGAATATGATGCCCATTCAGTTCTCTCATAAAATTCAAAGATGCAAGAATAGCTAACGCATCTATCATGACGTAATTCGTAGAACAATAGAACACAACGTTCTCTATAAGTTACTTCAGTAGTAATTTCAAATAAGCCTGACAGAATCGCAATTGGAACAGAATTACAACGTCAAGATATCAGCAACAGTTGCGCGGCAAATGCTCGATAAGGAAAAAAAAAATGTTCAAACAAAAACAGAAAGAATCGTTCATGAAACAGCTGCTGGAACGACGTCATTTTTCTGTGAATCATCATTGAAAAATAATT